AGTCATTTCAGCCGGGAGTTTCCTGAGGGCTTCCTTCGCCAGTCTGTCTGCCTCCTCGTTCCCAGTGATCCCTGAGTGGGCTGGTATCCACCTGATTTCAACTGATCTGGCTCGTCGTACCAGTCTTGTGAATGTGTCTACCACCGCCTGAGAAGATTTCGTTCGGCCGGTTTGAAGAGCTCTTGCGGCTATGGAGTTATCGAGGAGCACTTTCATCGGAGAGCTGCCCGCTTTTCCTATCGCTCCTTCGAGGGCTTTTTGGGCGCCAAAGATTTCGGCATCGTACACCTCCACCCCTGGCAGAGGACCGGCATCACTCCCAATCATCTAGCCTCCTTTGTATAAGATGTATCCCCACGCCGATCTAGCTGGTCCACATGATGAGCCGTCTGAGTAAGCGCAAACTGTCTCATCCGACAGGCTTGCTATCCATTGCTTAGCGTGAGCTGCTTCTTGCTGCTTGTCACCGCCAGTGAGCTGTCTGATGGGCTCAGCTTTTGGGAAATACAGTTTGCCAGGGCCCTCGGCCATCGGCATATTTTTGGCGCTGATCTGAAGTCGCGTGAGGTACCTTTCTGGGCACTTGAATGGCCGGTTCCTCTGACCTATACGGAGACCTAGGCGGCTTACTGTATCTTTTGGCTCCTCTATAGACCTGAATGCTAAAGAATGCCACGCGTCCAGCCTTTGAATCCGTGCGGCAGCTAGAATTTTTCTCTGCTGTAAGATAATAGCAGATGGGGGAATACCCGATTCTCTGTGCAGCGCCGTTTTTGGTGTAGTTCGCCACACCGGTAGCGCAGCTCGAACTGCCTTCAAGATAGTGCTGTCGAGGAGATCAGTATGCCAGCCTACTCCTGTGCTAACCATTTTGTCCCGCTGGGTTGTGATTCGGGTGAGACCTGGCCACCACGCTTCGGCTCCATATAGTGCCGTACTTAGGACACAGGACTGCACTGCTTTAATCATCGGTCCCGGAGCTGCGCCATGCTGGACCGAATTTATCCGTCGTATAGACTGTGTTATACGTTGCGCCTTCCCGCACCATTCCTGAACTTGTTGCTTGAATTTGAGTTGAGAATCTAGCCATACTCCCAGCCATCTCACGTACGGGGACAGGGCTATGCAGTGGCCTTGGATCTGGACAGCTAGACATGTGGTGTTCAGCTTTTTCCTTGGCCCACCTCCAATTAACAGTAGTTCAGACTTTGCCGGGTCAAAGTCTATCTGGTTTTCGCTCGCTAATTGGACGAGTTTGTCGACTTCTTTCTGGGCTTCGGCCACGGCTTCAGACGCGGTGCTCCCTATGCTGAGTATAGCGACGTCGTCAGCGTACCCGAATTTTGTGCTCTTGTTTCCGTCTCGCATCAAGATTTCGATGTATAATAAAAACAGAAGGGGTGATAGCGGCGACCCTTGTGGGACTCCGCACTCTGCAACTTTTTCCCGCGTGGTTCCATCACGGTGTCGCACCCTTATCCATCGTTGGGTTAGAAATGATTCTATCCACAGGCAAAGTATCCTTGGCCATCCCTGATTCCGCAATCGATGGATCAGCCGTTTGTGCAGGACCGCGTCGAACGCTCCTTGTACGTCCAGAGTAACCATGGCCGTTACCTTCTTGTATCGCATTGCCGCCTCTGCATCGTGTATGACGCAGGAGACCAAGTCAACTGCTGAGCGACCAGGCAGTGCACCAAACAGCTGTTGAGGAACGACTCGGTGCTCGATTGCTAGCCAGGCCATTCTCTTGGCTACAAGTCGTTCCAAACCTTTCCCAAGACAGGATAGAAGAGAGATTGGTCGCCAACCTTTAACTGTTGCGAGGTCCCGTCCTGGCTTAGGGAGGAGGATGACCTCTGCAACTCGAAACATAGTGGGGAAATGTCCAAGCTGTAAACAAGCTTGAAAGAGGTTCTTCACTTGTTCGCCAATTTGCTCCCAGCACGCCTTAAGCAGCCGAACCGTGATTCTGTCCGCTCCTGGAGACTTGTCGCCTGTTCTAATGGTGCTCGATTTTTCATCCTCTGTCGACAATATTGGGTTCCACGTAATAGTCTCTGGTTGTCTCGTCTCCCATGTGGAGAGATCGTGGGCTGCGTTGAATCTAGTCATCAAGATGTCCCTCAGGGTTTCTGCCCTCTCGAGTGGGTCTGATAACCATTTGTCCTCCGCGACCTTCAGAGGAGGAGGTTCTCGACATAGCTTGGGTTTAGCCCATTGCATTATCTTGAATACCTGGGTGTCCGTGATGGCATTCTCGATCTGTTTTCTCCAGTGTTCCCTTTTTGCCACTTTGACTGTAGCTCTAAACCTTTTCCGGGCCAGGGCTGCTTTTTCTGAGTCGTCTCTGGATTCCACGAACTCGAGGTGCTTTTTCTTGCACTCCTCATTCCACCATGGCGCTGATTTCCCGGCTATTCTCACTGGTTTCCGTCCCACTGCCTTGCGGGCATCCTCCAGAGCCTCCAGCAGGTTCGCTACTTGGCTTTCAATTTCCAACTCGTTGCGTATGGGGCCAGGCTTGGCCCAGGCTTTGACATACTGGGCGAATTTACCAAGGTCTTGGTCACGGACTCGCAGATCCTGTGAGACAGCGTTGAGGTCTGCCATTTTTGTCACCTGAACAGATCCTACGATAGTCATATGATCCGATGTGCAGTTGTATTTATTTGATACCGACGCCTCAGCGAAGGTGTTACTCCACACTAAGTCTAGCACGTTTCCATCTCGATGCGTGGGTACGCCGGCTGAGGTTATTAACTGCATGTCCCGCGCTAGTGCCCAGTCCATGATCTGGTCGCCGCCGCCATATTGCCTTGGTGCCTGGGGTTGCCAGTTTTTCGAGACCGCATTGAAGTCTCCCCCGACTACCGTGGGGCCTTTGGGCGTCCATTGGAATAAGGGTTCTAAGGTACCGCTTGGCCCGGGTGCACGGTATACGTTTACAAAAGTCAGGCCAGATACTTGAACGAAGCAGTAGTCCAAAGTTTGTCTTGTGGGAGCCGTATGTATTTGTGAGGCTTCGAGACCTTTCCAGGTAAAGGTGATTGCTCTTGGGCGACCTCCTGTATCTCCGATGGGCTTGTGGCTGTGAAAGCCAGGTTGATTTTTCGTTTTATACTCCCCATCTTCTTGCAATGTCCATGGTTCTTGTACCATGACAACGTGCGCTCCTGCGTCCCACGCCTGTTGCAGCGCTATGTCCATATTAGGTCTGCCCTTTCCCACGTTCACTTGGTGAAATAGAAGGGTGCTATATTTTCGGTTGTGCTTGTGATAATTTGGTGTATTACTCATTATCAACCATCGTTTCTTCTGGTATATTAATGACCTCGCGGGCCTTACCTTTTTCTTGAGATCTTAATATTGCGGCCTTAAAATCTCGATGTCCTCGCTCTCGAATAATTCGTAGCTCTGCCGGTGATCGTGATGTCATATGGCCATGGTATCGCCTTGGACGGGCCATGCAGTCCAAATGTGTTGACTCGTGTGGTCCAGCACAGTTTGAACATTTGGGAATGTCGGCTGTGCATTCTGCTGCTTCATGCGTGCCCGAGCATTTCACGTACCGCTGTCCTTTGACGCAGTTCCTTGTCGAGTGATAACCCCAGCAGCTTTGACATTGCTCGATGGGCCGTTTACGAGAGAATGGTATGGCTGGTCTACTCTCGTCGAACAGCCTGAACTTTAGGTTGGCTGGTGCCTGTTTGAAGTGTACAATCCAACTGGTGGAGTACTGACCCAGCTTTATGTCATTTGGGCGCGCCTGTATTGGCGCGACACCACACACTGACTGGCATTCGGTCTTCACCATTTCGCTGGTGACTCCTATTCTTCCGTCCAATGTCCGGATGTTAACCGGTACATGAGGGACCATGACAGAGGTCCAGTCTGAGGCAGGCTCAATTGTTATGTCCTCCTTTTGGAGAGAAGCGCCTACTCTCAGGATTGTTTCTCTGAGTGCGTCTGATGCACACTCAATTGCTAGGCCAGACCAATTTGTGTCATTGCTATGATGGCTGAGGGTGCGACCCCAGCTTTTTCAGTTACAATCTTCTTTATTGTGACAGGTGACAACTTCCGCCACTGGTGTCCTTGACCTAATCGGAGGAACAGTCTTTTGTCTTCTTTGGGTGGTTCTTTTTTTTTCGGCTTTGTATGCACAACAGGTCTATGTTTGACCAGATTAACTGGCGGGTCCGGGAGCTTGGCCGCCTTCCGCGCTACAGTGACCCACGGGGAAGCATTTTCGCGTGGCTTTGGAGGAAGTTCGTGGCGGGGTTTCTCGGCTGGTTTTGTCGCCCTAGGCCCAGGAGTTGGTTCTTGGGTGGTTTCGGGTTCTGGTTTCTTGTCTATGTTAATTTTGGCATTGGTGTTGCCTATCGCAAATGCTGTCACGATAGGTGAAATGTTTTCTATAAGTGGCGCAAATAGGGTCGCGCCTTCAGTTCCCACCTTGGATTTTGCCCAAGCGTCAATAGCATGCAGGAAATCTTGAGCTACGCTCATTCGCTGCTTTCGTTCGCGTTCTGATTGCTCCATTGCAGCAGCAATCCCAAGAAGGCTCGGGTGAAGGTGGTCGCCTGGGTCGATCGATGCCGAGGACGACGGCTGGTTAAACGCAGCCATGATGCTGCTTGATTCTGCGCGTAATGCGATGGTTTGGAAGGTTTGATGAACGATGTTATGTGTGATTATATAAATTGAGAAGTTAGTGATATATAAATTGAAAAGTTGAGGGGGTTTTTACCATAAAGGTTTCCTCCTATATAAATATTAGAGTTCGTAGACACCTGTATGGGCCTTAAGGCGCCAAATCGGGCTAAATGAAATCAGATTCAAAATTCAAAGGTCAACACAACAGCCTTGTGCGCACAGCATTAGGTTAGGACAAAATAAACAAAACAAAAAACAAACAACAGCCTTGTGCGAAGGACTTTCCCATCTTGTTTTTGTCGGTCGTGTTCGTGATGTAGAACAATTACCGCATATAAATTTCACCTCCCACCGCAACAGCCACTAGAGCGATGATCCTTTCGAGTCGTGCAAAGTGGTGATAAAGGGTGGTAACATCTGAAACCCCGAGCTTTGAGCAATCCGTACATGATGGGTCGAGAAGTCCTTGACTGCCGGAGGGGCGGTGTGAAGAGAGCGACATGTTGATCGGTGTGGCGTGGCCCGGGACCCATGGCCCTTGGGTGTCTCGCTTGTGCCCGGATCGGCGCGCTCGGGGATCCGATTATGCGGAATGCGGTTGAGGTCCTGACAAGATGCTTGGCGCAAACGTCAACATACAGCGCCTGAACCCTAAACACCTCATCTTATAGTATGTTTGTATTGTGGCCAGAAGCTAATAAAGATGATGAGATCTATTTCATGGGAACTGTAGAAAGACCTCAGAGCTGTGGCGAAAGAATAGGAACGAGTTTCCCCGGAACCAAGCAAGCATGCACAGAAATTGCAAAGTATTAATCAACTTCAAAGTTCGTACCTTTTCACAACATCTGCCTCTATCTTCCAAGCAAATTCTAGATGCTTGGATTAGCTACCAGACTCGAGACGGGATTTTGCTGTTTTGAATTCTGCACAAAACATCCTCAAATCGCACGCTTGCTGGGCCTAAAGAGACTACACCAACAGATTAGTGGCGAGTTCTTTCTGGACTTTCTCAAGGCAGTTTTACGCAGTTATGGAGGGCGTGTTAGCCTCTACAGCAAATCTAGGGTATTGTGCTGGCAAATGTAACTTACAAGATTGATGTGGCTTTTATTGTGCCATCGCTCTTCGTATTTTATAGACGGTGAAGTCGTCTTCCTACTTACTGAGCCAAAATGGGTCCAAAGAGCGGCAGTATCAAAAGCTTAGCTTGAGTAATTCCGAAAACTCAAGATTCCATACCAATATTGCCTCTCTGGTAGAATAGAATGGAATTGAATTGAATTCAAGCCCCTACTGAGTATTTAACTATAAAGGACTGCTTCTCCGATAGTAAATAGGCGCCATGAGGAAATTACTCTGAGTGCCCACATTCTATGTTAAGCATGTATTTAACACCGTGGAGGGGTATGATAGTCTAATAGGTCAAATAATTGGTCACCCTTGAAGTATTGGTCTTTGCAGTGCTAGAAGCTCAAACATTACTAAATAAACTAGATTGCTACTAAAAATTATGGGAATATAGTACCAGTCCCCTAGTGACCTGCGGTTTCATGCGCATCACAGAGATAGACGCTGAGAGTTCTGTGGTGCGCCCAAACGAGGAATCGGATGAAGATGTTCCTGGACCGCTATCGGAACCACATGTAAGGCGGTTAATGGAAGTAATTATCCAGGCATCGGTCTAATCCGAAGCTCGAGGCGCTTAAAGTCAATTCTATTCGTTTTGCTGACGAGACCCGCGAAGGGGAGCTACATGCCGGCTGTAGCACCTGCAGCATACCAACGTTGGCTGGGATTGCCTCATCATGTGCACCGACTGATTGGCAGTATCATGCATTCCATCGCTCAGCCGCAGTGCTCTAGCGCCGGCGCAAACAAGACGTCACGTTAACCCTGTCCTGCCAAGCTCCACAAACCCTTCTTTCGGCGCAGACGAGAAGACGCTTGAACATCTCCATCATGCTATTAATCTTTTAATTATGACATGTCCACCACGCGCCCCACTCTTCAACTTCGGCAGTGCTAGAGTCATTTGATCTAGACCTTCAACAGCGCTTCCGTCCTGAATTCGGAGAGTTCTGCTAGACCTGGAGCCACCGATAATCTGATTTCTAATAAAAGCGATATGCTAGTAAGTCTCCTAATTTCCAACATTCCATAGATGTGTTGGTTTGGACATTCAGCACAACCTCAAGCGCAGGGTAAGTTTTAGCCATAAAGGTCAAATGCATAAGCCTGATCACTCCTCTACACCCTGCCGTTACTCTACAGTAATGACGTTAATCCGATAGACTTTCCTCCCCTGGATTAGCTTATGTTAAGGTTATGAGATCTGTAGGGGTGTTCGAGCCTTGTGCGTAATCTCTCCTCGACGTACACTTGCTACACTAATTGGCCAACCACATTTTACTGCTGCCCGCAATTCATACGCTTACAAAAAAGAGGCCTCATCGCTATTTCAGAGTTAGCCGCCCCTAGATTCTCCAAATTCTTCGACTTATCTCCATCTTATGACGCATCATTCTCGCGTAAGAAGGCTTGGATAATGCATTCCTAACCTGTTGCTTCAAAAAGCAAGAGCCTCGCAAAGCCCAGAGCTTTGCCGCGTTCCTCAAGTCGAAATTATCGATATCGCCAAGGGCCAGTGGGGGACCGTTGTGGTGAAACCTACATGAATCTGCGTCTTACAGCCTTCCTAACGCCCCTGGGCCGATGGCAAATAAGAGGCTTGTAAGTGACATGGCAGCCGATCAAGCCTTGGTTCGACCGCATGGCTTTCCTTCGCGGTCTCGAGAATCTGTTGTGAGCCGCCAGCTCGAATTAGATAGTCACCGTTCCGTCAGCTCCACTCTCGCCGGAAGCCGTTACTGTGCGACGCAATGCGCTATCTGCGTTACAAGAGAAACTGGTCTAAACCTTTCTCCTTGTCTCTTCCTTGCCTCTTCCTATCCACTCCTACCATCTCCCCCTGCAGAAAATTCTTTTTCCTTTTCGAGCCTTCTCGTGATGCTTTCTTCTCTCTGGCCAACTTGCCTGGCCTCAACGATAGTTCAGCTTTCAAAGACAAACACTGCCATTGAAGGCTCAAGATCTGTTAACCACTTAAACTGGAGCCAGGGAATGAATAGGACAAAAATAGCCACCCTACTTCCACTTTTCGGAAGAAAAAAATGGCAGATCAAAACAGCCCCTTCATGTTAAAGCTGTCTGGCCGAACCAGAGCCTCGGTATCGTATGACCGTATATAAAGCTAACGGTCGGCTCCATCTTATCTGTGGAAGTTCCAAACAAACCATTCTCTAGCTTACTACATCTCAAACAATCCCGGAATTGCCTCAACTCTCTCTAGATTTGCTTTTTAGCTGGATCTCAACGTCTCCTAGCCTGCGCTGGAAATCTAATTCAATAAATAGGTAGCCATAATCCTTTGTCTATAGATAGTTCGAAAAAATCACTGAACTACTATGCAGATCATACAACACTAGAGATCGAGAAAGATTAAAGTCATAAGCCAGTTTTATCACAGGGTAGCTATGTGTATCTGCTATCATACCAAGTACACCTGTGGATGCGTCATCAAGATGGAGGTTAGAAATGCGGGGTGCAGAGGTGATCGTTGTCCACCAGAGAAAATAATGATTCGCTACACGACTTGCCCGGGGCCTTGTGAGATGCATCACAGTAGCTGAGGAACTGGTAAGTCTAGGCCTATTCGCTTGTGACTATAGGAATCTCCACAATTTGACTTTTTTTAGTATCTATAATGTTGTTAAGGGATGCTTAGATGTCCAGCTGTTGAATTACCAGCGCCAAGGGGCCACTTGTAGTATGAGAGATATTAGACAGTGCTAGTCCTGTCTCAATTGTCTGTACTCGTACTTTTATTAAGATATCTCCTTTCCCAGCAAATATATAGAGTAGATTTCGATCGGTATTGTTTATATAGAGAATAATCTGTTTAAGATGTCGCTTACGCCATATTCTACCGAATAGCTATGCTGTCATCGATTTCTATTTCTGTTACCCTGTGGCTGCAGTGTGCCAAGGCGGCGTGCCTGATGCAACATCGGCAGAAAAACATAGTGGAGGCTCAACCGTTTTGATCCTAGACTCATGCATATCTTCCGTGATAGTAGAGACCTCACCATCAGCACCAATGTCGGTCGATGTTAACTGGGAAACATTGACCTCTGGCCCGGATGGTCTGATTTTAGCTGAAAAGATTCGCGACTTCGTCCATGAAAAGTTCCAGGCCATCAGCCTCCCACACTTTATCAAATCGGTCGGCGTGCAGACTTTTGAGCTTGGCACCGTTGCCCCGGAAATCGAAATCAAAGATATCTGCGACCCTTTTCATGATTTCTACGAAGGTGTCGAAGACGACGAAACGCCCACATCCGAGGAAGATGACGACCGTGAAGCCGTTCTACCCAATCGCATGGATCCAGCAGAGGCTCTTCGTGAAGAAAAAATAATTGATGATAATTTGAAGAGAAAAAACCTCCAGTTAGCTTCCGGCGATCAACGATCACTAGCTGGTTTTAGATTGCGCCAGGATCTCGGAGAGGTTAAAGGGAGGTTATCGAGCACCAGTCCCGCGGGTATTTCGGGCGGGACGTCAAATCTAAATTACTTTCATTCCCAATTGGCAAGCGGCATATCCGGGACTCGAACCCCCCTCGCCGCAGTTGCTGGAGCGCATCACTTACCATCTCGTTGGCTCGGCGAACCCCCCCAAGAAGCGAGTAACCTAAAACACCACGAGTTAATCAGCGACAGTTCCAGATCTTCACCGCTACATAGAAGCCCCGATCTTCGAGGTAAATACGAAATGTCTACCTCAACGCAGGCAGGTATTGTGTCATCCCAAATTCATCGGGAATCCGAGCAAAAGACACTTGATGAAGAACTGCTACTGTCAGTACAGCCTGGCTATTGCGAGCCGAGAGTCGAGGATGTCCAAACGATATTCCGCGTTCGCTATGCTGGCGACATAAAACTTTCTTTCACAGCTGAGCTACTTTTAGATTACCCCATGCCTAGCTTTTTTGGTATACCTATCAAGCTCAAGATAACCGGGCTAACTTTTGATGGCATTGCCGTGCTTGCATCCATTCGAAATAAAGCACACTTCTGCTTCTTATCGCCCGAGGATGCGCTTTCCACGTTAGGAACCGAGCCCACCGATAGATCTCAAGGCAAGCATTCAAGAATGGATAGTTTATTACAAGAGATCAAGGTCGAAAGTGAGATTGGTAAGAGAGAAAATGGGAAACAGGTCCTCAAAAATGTAGGAAAAGTTGAAAAATTTGTCCTTGAACAGGTGAGACGTATATTCGAAGACGAGCTTGTCTATCCAAGTTTCTGGACCTTTCTAATATAATTATGGTCTAACACCGACTATGCCACTTGGACCGAGGTGAAAGGCCAAGGATCGTGACAATAAATATGCGCGTTCTATTCCTAAAGAAAGTCTAATGAAAATTTTAGAACAATCTCTAATGACTTCAAATCTAAACTCTAATACTAGCTCAAAGTTGCCTTGAACCCTTGATACGCTGTATTCATATCAAGTTCCAGCTCTCTTGCCTGAGATTCACTCACTTCATCCGTTGCTTTCATTTGATTCAAGGCAATTAACCACTGCACAATTTTGCCTCTTCCCTCAAAGTCCCGATCCGTAACCTTATTGATACTCTGAATAACGTCGGATAGCAGTGGATGCAGTTGATCCTTAGCTAAAAGGCCCAACTTGAGCGCATCCAGAAAGGTTATGAAGTCCTGCGTAGCTTCCAGGATTAGAGCCCCGTTTATATTACTTCCCCTAGCTGATGTTGGATTCATGGATGGTGCAGTAACTGTACTTGGTAGACCAATTCGGACTCTCTCTGTAGCTCTTGGAACTTCGATCTATTGAGCTTAACGCAATACTGGTTGAGATGATCGGGAATTTCTACCTCCCACGTATTCTTAAAAGTCTCTAGATCGACAAATTCTCGAGACACGGCTTCATCGTTCAGAATTGCTTTATACTGCTTTAATAATCGATCGCAGATTTCCGTGTAACTACTGACTGCGACGGCATCTTTCAAAAACGCTTTTTCAATCTCATCTAGTGTTACAAGGATACTGAAAACCTCTGCCAGAGAATCCTGGAGATCTCGCTCGGCTCTAGACTCTGTGAGTTTCACTTCCTTGTTGCGATATCAGTCAGTGGAATAGGACCTCCAGCCACAGCGCAGAAAGAAAGAAAGATGAATCACCTCATCAAGGTTGATTGTAGCATTATTATGCGGTGGCACATAGCTATGAGGCGTTGGCGCAAACGCTTGAAGAGTCTGGTTTCGATACATTGGGTTCTATGAGTTGAAGTGTTACGGCACACTTACCAATCTGTAGTGCGCGGCAGAATCAAACCACACTAGCTTCACCGCCCACCAATTTTCCGTGTAAACTTTGAATTATCTTGCGCAACAACGCCACGACACTCCTACAGATCACCATAAGTGCTCCGTCGAAAAATCTTAAGGAAGAAATATCATGGGAAAAAGCATCAAGAAGTCGACTCGAAAATTCGAGAGAAATCAGCTAAAAGATACAATTGAGAGACGGAAGGCTGGCGCAAAAATCAAACAGCGACAACAGGTAAAGGCTAAACGGAAGGCTAGGAATGCTGAGCAGGATCCCAGCCAGTGCTCAGCAAGCGATGTTCCTGCCTCCACTCAGAATGATTCCACTACTGCAATGGATGTTGATGAGTTCTTTCAAGGTGGTTTCCAGATTCCCGAAAAATTAACGAAAAAAACCTCTAAAAAGACTGAAAAGCAGCTTGGCAAACGAAAACGCCTTGATCCAGAGCAGAAAAAGGAAATACTATCTGAAGATTCCTGTGAGGAGTCACAATTCCTTGACGTGGAAGAGGGTGATGATTCTAGTGAAGAAGAGGAAATTGGAATGAACAAAAATGCCATGGAAAGTCTCGCAGAGAAGGACCCTGAATTCTACAAATATCTCAAGGAAAACGACCCTGAGACGTTGGATTTCGACGAAAATGCAGACTTGGCCGAGGTCGATGAGTTGAGTGCGGGCGAAGAAGAAGAGCAGCCGAAGAAAAAACGTAAAAAGTCAAAGTTACCTGAAGATAACGAGGAAGAAGTCGGCGAAGATTTAGTAGACTCTTCTGAAGTTACATTGGCGATGGTATCGAAATGGACAAAAGCTATGACCCAACAAAACTCTCTACGTGCTATGCGACAGGTTGTATTGGCATTTCGGGCTGCAGTTCACATCAACGAGGAGGACGCGAACATCTACAAGTATTCGATTTCAAGCCCTGAAGTTTACCATGAGCTACTTCTTACGGCCCTCAAAAATATCCCCTCCGTCCTTCAGCATCATATACCGGTGAAAGAATCTTCTGGAAAAGTCAGGGTTTCAACTGATGGCAAGAAATTTAAAACCTTAACTCCACTCTTAAAATCTCATACATCATCCGTAAATCACCTGCTCACAACTCTCTCGGATGCTTCGACTCTTCAAACAACCCTCTCTTCCACTATTCTACTCTTACCATACCTCCTTTCATTTAAAAAGCTTCTCAAAAATATAGTTAGAACCGTAGTCGATATTTGGTCTGAAGCCTCTAGTTCCGAGACATCTAGGATAACCGCCTTTCTGGTAATCCGTCGACTAGCAGTTATTGGCGATCCAGGATTACGGGAAGCTGTCCTGAAGACAGTCTACCAAGGGCTTATCAAGGGAAGTCGTATCACTACCCTACACACCATTCAAGCGATCAATTTAATGAAGAATTCTGCTGCAGAATTATGGGGCCTGGATCCATCTGTAGGTTATGCCACTGGTTTCTTGTTCATCCGGCAACTGGCCATTCACCTACGAAATAGCATCACTAAAAACCAAAAAGAGTCATTCAAGACTGTCTATAATTGGCAATATATTCACTCTCTAGATTTCTGGTCTTGTGTACTTTCTGAACACTGTTCACCTATAAAGGAAGCAGTGGCCGGTAAAGCGTCGGACCTAAGACCCCTAATATACCCTGCCGTCCAAGTCACGCTAGGTGCTCTCCGCTTGATTCCCACAGCGACGTACTTTCCGCTCCGATTTCATTTAACTCGATCCTTACTCCGCCTCTCCCGAGCAACCGGAACCTACATCCCTCTTGCTTCTCCTATCCTCGAAGTCCTCAACTCTAATGAAATGAAAAAGCCTGCCAAGCCTTCAACCCTCAAATCATTTGATTTTGCCTACAACTACAAAGCACAAAAGTCATATCTACGGACGCGAGTTTATCAGGACGGCGTTGGCGAGCAGGTTGTCGAACTCTTGTCTGAGTTTTTTGTCTTATGGTCGACCAGCATATCTTTCCCCGAATTATCACTAGCGGTGGTCCTAATGCTAAGGCGTTGGCTCAAGGAGGTCGGAACCAGGGGAAAGAGTAATAAAAATGTTAAAGTTAGTGGTATGGTGACGCTCCTTGTTCAGAAGCTCGAGGCGAATGAAAAGTGGATTGAAGAGAGACGTTCCAAAGTCGAGTTCGCACCAAACAACCGGGCTGGAGTCGAAGGATTCCTGAAGGGATTTGAATGGGAGAAAACGCCACTTGGTGCATTTGTCGCGGGTCAGCGAAAACAACGTGAAGAAAAGAATAGGTTAATAGAGGCAGCAAGACGAGAAGAAGGGAAGAAACACGAGAAGGTCGAGCGTAGCAATGTGATCATGGATGACACTGATAACGATCTAGAAAGTGATGATGATTTAGAGAATGGTGATCTTGAACTAGACGCAAGCAGCAGTGCAAGCGGAGAGGAATAGATATTTTTGTTCATCTACATTGCAGTTTGATAGATTTTTAAAACAAGCAACGCATGGTAGTGGACTCTCTATCCTTACATTTGATCTCGGTTCGGATCGCCCTACGTTCTGTGCTACTTATATGTTATGGTCTGGTGCTTGGTTAGGCAGCCCGTTTATAGCTTGAGGCCTCAAACTGAATTGACCATTTTTCTCGTTTTCCAGAGATTTCTAGCGTGCAACTTACGTATCAGGGAAGAATTTTTTTCACGCGCATTCCCTTTGAACATTTGGAGACTTGTCCGAGCAAGGATTAGGCCACGCTCCATGAAAGAACGCAGGCGAACAGCGGTATCTTCTCGGCCGCCCACCACGCGAACGGCGTGGCATCAATGATGGGATGAATACAGCGGTGCTGCCAAGTGGCCTTAGTCTTTGATGCAGGAGGGCCTAGGCAAGATCAACGATGAATTCAGCTCGTACTTCTCTTTGCATTAGATTTTGACAGCGTATGCCAACATCTAGCTATGACATAAAATTATTATTACAGCTTGTATTGTGACGGCCGGGATGGAGGCAGGCGCGTCCATTTTTGTCCCTGCACACTTCTACCATGGGTGTCTGCGCGTGAGGCGCGATGGCGGCGCCAGCAACGCTCCCCAGCCTCCGATCCATGAATCCACGGCACCCACTGTCACCTCAACACTCGGTATGTCTCACGCTCTGAGGTTCCCAGAACGCACGGTCAACCTACAAATCTCGTGTCCCCAACTTGCTCTAGATGAGGGCTCGAATTATTCGATTCCCACCCATTCCGTCGATAGTGCTTCTAAGTGTATAAATGTGAGCAGCTATGATACTTGATCAGTGCTAGGTATCAAAGCTATCCACTCTACTTGATATACCAGCCCGTATTATGTACCACTAAACCATCCAACCATAACAGTATTTAAATGGTCGTCTGCACTCTCACAAACCAGTCATTGTAGCGCACACAACTTAATCTGAGAAACTCCTCTTTAAAAGCCGAAAATCTAACTCCTTCAAAACCTTACCTAAATTTCCTGATATCTCTCACGTTCATCCCGAAGATCTGCCTCCCAGACTTGTGCGCCATGGTTTTTTTCTCCGGCAGGTGCAAATATCGGTGTTGGCGTATTTCTGGAGGCCGCCCAAGGTTAGAGACCAAGTTAACGAGAGGCCTGGTCACCGAAATGAGGATGTTAAGGTCATAATTCAAGAGGTAACGGACTTTTGGTCGGAGGCCATCTTTTGGGAGTGGATATCTGATTTGATATGGAGTTTTTAATCCCTGCCTCGCGGACCAATTTCTTCGGTATCGCGAAATTCAACCGAACTTGGTACTGGAAGAGTATTTTACTCCCAGCTTCATAGAGGTTACCGTAGATAGATATCTAGTCTATGGCTTCTGCCTGTAGCGCTTGAATAGCTCGTATTTGCAACAATTATCGACTCGTATAAACGTAAAATTCGGTCAGAAAATTCTCCCCATAATGGCAACGGCAACACTCTAATCATGTTATGAGCATATCTTTATCCCTGGTTTAGTTTTGTTTAGTCTAGTTTAGTTTAATTTATCGTGCCAGGCTTACACCCTCCATCCAATGGATATGACACACATGGAGGACATCTAGAATGCAAGTTCCTCCATTCTCTAGCAAAGCCCATCCGGCGCCTGACTTTTCCAAATGCGTGCCTCACACTAGTTACATCGGGTCGAATAAGTAAGAACGCATTCACCATGATCCTAAGACCATGTATTGAGGGAAAACCTTCGTGGGAAAACCTCAATAATTCCTCCTGTACTCTTTCACGACGAGCAGCCGTAGTCCCCCCTTAAACAGGCCGTGTAGGAATCCAACCTACCACTTCTAGAAAGCACATCCAGCACCCGACCAACTGTGCCAACAGCCTGTTGAAAATCACATATCGTTATTCCCAAATTCTCTCCTGCATTGCGCTCAACCCCCATTTGAGAGAGCTGAAATTCCGAAATCGAGACCTCAAAACCGAGGCATCGGTGCCCCAGCTTTTGTCGTACATTGTTCGTTGTCTGAGTGAGGCATCTTCGTTCGCGCCGTCTTTGGAATGTGTCGAAAAGTTGAGAATGTTGATGTCGCGGTCGAGGTGCTTGTCTAAAATGAGGCCGAGAAATTGCCCAGTCCTGCACACAATGTTAGTAATGTTGAAAGCGAAAGGAATGTTACCTTTGATTTTGGAGGGTTGTTGGTGAGTCGTAAAGTCCTCCCAGTCAAACTCAATCGGGAAGTTGTTAGAAGACTGAATAGAAGAGACCCAAACTTAAACTTTCGATCTATCGTGCCGGGAACGGAACCTAGCCCAGGTGTCAATCGAAATCGACTGGGCCACGCTCAGCAAGCTGCCGTTGCGAAGGTCTTTATCCCTGGTATTTAGACTAGTTTAATTTTACATGTTTGATTACTCGTCTCACATGAAAAGGCGAGTGGCAATTTATGTAGATAGAGGCCTCGATCTTTGAAAGGCAAACAATAAGTTATTGCTCCTAAATTCACGCCGTTACGCTCTAACTCACATGACACACTAGAATACACCCACGGTAAGGGTGCACTTATCTCGGCTAACGTCATGAATTAATGCCCTTAACCATAGGAGAATGAGAAGCCTTCTCCGTCCTTTACCCCACCAATGATTTAATTGAAAATAAATAGTTGTAGCTCCCTCTTTCTCTCTCTTCCATACATGGCACAGGGAAAGCATTCGGGATGGAATGTGAACTTGGGTAGTTATTTTGATTGGGATGCTTGATCGCGAGCCACTTCGGAAGAACGGGACTTCAATTTTGTTCGGATCGGTCTAATGGCTGCTGCTAAGGATTTGGCAATCTCTCCTTTTAATCTTCCTGGCTTCACGGTCACACCGTTCTCTCGCAGGATTCTCCGTAACCGCGTCAGATCCTCAACTCTGTAGTACTCGAAATCAAAAGCTGTCCAGTCAGCAAAAGCCTTGCTATATGCTAGTTTCAAATCGCCATCTTTTAGGTTGCCTTGGGCGAACACGTCGGTGTGCGCAACAAGATAACGAGGCATAATTATTTGTTAAGTTTTAATTTATTTAGCTGTATCTCTTGTGCATTTATTCTTTACTTGGAAAGACAATTGCGGCTCGCTTTCGTACTATATCGACTATGGTGAGTAGTTAAATGTTGAGTATCAATTCGGGCAGAGTTGAATGCAATTTAATTATTGTTGTCCGATTGAGTATAAGGGATTGATGAGCGGTATTGAAATAGCCGTCACTATTCAATATAGGTTTGCAAATGACGGTACAACACAATGCCCCGCTAGATCGTGTCGATGTTAGATCCAGTAAAAGTCTCCATCATGCTCCTTTCATCATCTTGAGATACATCTGTATACGCCCCGTATTGCTGCCCGACCACATATCGGTCAAGCCTCAGTATAATTGTGTACCATGATGGAAATTTGGCAGGCCTTTCGCAGCGAAAGCTTTGATTTAGATATGTACATCAAGTGTTAATCTCATTGAGCGGTACGATTAGGATATTTGAATAACTTAGTGCATGTTCTCAGATGAATCGCTGAGGGCCTTGTTGAAGACACAACTGCCCGAAAAATCGACATTATGTAGCACAGCTAGTGTCTCTAAAAACCTAAAACTACATGCATATGGATCCATTTTACCGTATTTCTAAAATTAATAACTCCAGATAGAAAGATTACCCTTGATATCGATAGGTAACTCAAGATAGCCTTATCGAAGGTAACTATCAAGAGTTGGGCGTTTGGATCGGCAAGATTACACTCCATCAAAACTTCCAACATTTGGACAGCTATCTGTGGTTTCCTTTTGAAGGCATCCTCGTTAATTTTGAGTTATCTTAACGCAGGATTATGTATACTCCCTGGGCAGCTGAGAGAAATCTGCAGGTGTGCTTGAAGAGTCCTAGCAACACTCTTACATGAGGATTGAGTTCTCATTCCGCACCCGCAACCTTCCTCAGCCTCACTACCTCAATTATCCCAATTTCATAGATAAAATTTATAACTCTCGGGCTGCGAAATTTTATTTTGATTCCCTCAGTGAGGAAGGAGGATATGTAGGATTATCTTGGCTACATATCTTTCTTGAGCCTAACGACAATTCCCAGTGATGGATGACCTATCTTCTCTGGTACTCACCTCCAGGGGTAGTGATCGGCGTTTGATATTTTGCTTTTTCGGATTTATTTCAGTTTTCATCGGCTCTGGAGTATTATTGCTTCGGGTTACAGCTGCCTAGGCAGGGCTTAAGCTGCACTAGGTAGGTCAGGATATAAGTCAGGCTTGTTTGACTTTATCGTCAGTCGCACTCGCACTCGCACTCACACTTGTCGAATCCGATTCTTTTGAAATCGACTGTGAGAAGCTGAATCTTCATCCTAGAACATGATAAGCTCTTCGGCCTTCTCATCGAAATAGAAAATTCACGAGCTGAAAAAAATAGATCTGCCGGTGAATGGAGCTATTTTGTGAAGTAACCAAAGCTTGAAGAGATCCGCGATAAATTTGTAAGTTCTTCGTCACTATCTGTCACATAATCTAGTCTATGAAATATTGTGAACCCCAAGTTGCCTGACGAAGGTTATATTCCCGAGGCTAGGCTTACACAGCAGATGTCTAAGCAGTTCAATGCAATGATGCATCTTCTAGTACACTTTAGCTTTTGTTAGTGTGGTAGTCCCCTGTTGCGACGAAGTGCCGTAGTTTTTTAAGCCAATTCTATGGTAAATCCGTAACTTTCTGCAGGAATTTGAGATCATCATATACCAAAAAAATGCTAGCTAGGCTCATCCCCTACACTGAAAAAGGTACGGTGCTGGCTTCCAGATTGTGTAAAGTCTGTGAATTCCCACCACACGATAGAATGCCAGATTTTCATGTTCACAATAGCCTACGCCAATAAGTTAGTTAAGAATGCAAATAGACGGCTCTGCATCTGTAACTTCTATGCAAGATTTGCAAAAAAATGTAGAATGCACCCATCAAGTGTCTGAATATAACAGCACTCAGCAATCTCCTACACCGCCGACACACGCATCATCTCAGGCTTTAACTGTTGTATTGGGAGGAAACCAGCCTAATACACCTCCGCCGTCAGAGCCTCCCCAAGAACTCCAGGCCAATGACGATCAAAGAATTCGCCCACGGACTGAAAAGGCGTTAATACTAGTTACTCTCTGTGCTTGCACTTTCCTCTCTGCCATGGAAGTTACAGTGACTACTACTTCTCTACCGACTATTTCTAAATCTTTCACATCTGATGCCGGTTATTCGTGGGTAGGCTCTGCCTATCTCCTTGCTAATGCCGCGTTTTCGTCGACATGGGGAAAGGTGTCTGATATATGGGGACGTAAACCCATTGTAATTCTTGCCGTTAGCCTATTTGCCATTGGCTCCTTGATGGCCGGGCTAAGTGTCAACTTGGCTATGCTTATTGCTGCGCGAGCCTTGCAAGGAGTCGGTGGTGGGGGTATGATGGTGATGGTCAATATTTGTATTTCAGACCTATTCAGCTTGCGCGATCGGGCCAAGTACCTCGGATTAACTGGAGTGGTTTGGGTTGTGGCCTGTTCGGTTGGGCCGATCATCGGAGGAGTTTTGACCGAAAGAATCAGTTGGAGATGGTGTTTTTTCATAACTCGTCAGTTTTTCCCATTTGGTGCTTGTAATCGAACTAACACACTCTAAGTTCCCATTAGCTGTGCAGCAATTCCTGCCCTTTACTGCTTTCTCGACTTGCACAACCCGCGTACTCCGATAAACGTCGGACTCAAAGCGGTAGACTGGATTGGTTCCTTCCTTGTTATTAGCGGGACAGTAATGCTCTTACTCGGCCTTGAGTTCGGAGGATTGGACTATGCATGGACTTCTATCCAAGTTCTTATTCTCCTGGTCTTTGGATTTGCGACACTGGTCGGCTTTATTCTTTATGAATGGAAATTTTCATTTAATCCAATCATGCCACTACGTCTCTTTAAGCATTATAACAATGTGGCTGCCCTCATTGTTTGCTCTAGCCAAAGCTCGACGTTTGTAGCTGGCATCTACTTCCTTCCATTATACTTCCAAGCCGTTCTTGGTGTTAATCCTCTCCGGTCAGGCTTCTATATCTTACCTTTCGTTTTAACTCTCTCCGTGACTTCTGCTCTAACAGGTATTTACGTCAAAAAGACAGGCCGAAATATCTCGACTATTGTATTTGGCCTCTTTTTCACTATTATCGGGTACAGTCTCTTCATGGATTTCGACCTCACTAACCACTGGGAAAAAACGATAATTTATCAAATTATTGCTGGAGTTGGCGTTGGCCCAAACTTTCAATCTCCTCTGATAGCTCTACAGAGCACAACCCCCAAGAAAGATATTGCTGCTGCCACGGCCAATTACAATTTTATCCGTCATCTATCCACTTCGAGTTCCCTAATTCTTGGGAGTCTCATTTTCCAGGGTGAGCTGCGGAAGCGTTGTCTAGCTATAGTCTCTAATCTTGGTGCAACCGCTGCTGAAGCCCTCTCAAAAAGCTCTGTAGGTACGAGCATTGTAACAATCCAAAACCTCTCTTCAGAACAGCAACTGCTGGCCAGGACAGCTGTTCTAGCGAGTCTCCGTATAACGTGGTCAGGATATGTGGCTTATTCAAGCCTGAGTTTATTGACTAGTCTCGGATTTTCTCCAAATCGGCTCAAGCAGAGCCCAGTAGCCGATACAGAAGCAGTAGATGAAAAGAAGAAAGATTTATATTTGCCGAAAAGTTAGGCTCCGCTGTTACAGAAGTTAAGAAGGTTACTTTAACAGATCTACATAGAGCGATAATAGATATACCAGCCTTAATGTATATCTAGAAGAGCTAGCAGAGGATCACATATAGCCGCACTAAAGCCCAACTCTGGTGTATGCTAATCATAGCAGCGTAAAATCTGATACTGGAAATTCATACCGAAAGATCAGCCCTAGAGACAAATGGTTGGAATACAGTAATACGAGACAATCAGCCTAACTAATCAGCAGATGTTAGTCATGCCATTTTTATCTTTCTGCAAAGAATGAAAAGTTTATTTCTAAATAATGGTAAGTGTCCTTCATGAAAACCAATGACCACAGGTTTCAAGAAACAGTACTGTAATCGAAAATTGTACGCCTTACAACTTTTGCAAAATCGAACCAAAAAAATACAATTACCGGCATAAAAAATCAACATGCAAACTTATGGGCTAATATCTTCAATATAGTTCCAAGCTGTCCTGTTCGAGATGTGTCCAAGTAGAAGATAATTGTAGAACAAAGATATCGGGATAATAAAAATGTGGGGTAATTCACTTACTCTCTATGCCATATTTCTCTGTAAATTACATCTTAATAGTAGCCATTATTTACGGCTTTAACTATGTAGAAAGATGTTGTCCCTTCTAGCCGAGCGTGATGTAGAAGAACAAAATTGCCCTACAGCTCAACTAGATTACGTGAACACCTGAAAAGTAGAAGCTTTACTCCTAGTTTCTTTTATCCAGAAACTATTAGGGTAGCACTATAACCAAAATAATTTATCTCTAGATACCTCAGCATTCAATATCAAAACTAAGATATAGAAAATGTTCGTATCGTTAACCTTATTTGGCCAAGGAAAATTCTGTGTCATAATTTTCTCGGACTGTAACGTTGGCCCTTGTTAAAACTCGTCTTGCTTCGGTGATAAAAGACGCCTTCTGAATCATAAGATCCTATTTGAATCGCTAATTAAAGGCTGAAGCTCTGTCTGCAAAGGTTTTTCCATGGCCTGAAAATAGAAAGTGGTATGCCGGTAATAATTATTGTTCGTTTGGTGAAAGACCAGAAATCTAGCTTAAGGTCGTTAGTTACACAAGAAAAGCGGGAACAGAAGTCTCATTGAGTTTGGTGTCGGATCTACTTCTACTCTCATCACTACTGCGAGATCATTATTATGAGAATAGAATAGAATTGAATATAATTCCCTGCTGTCATTATTATGAGAGCCGTGCCTTCATATATTGAAAATGTTCTACAACTTCACGATATTTCAAGCTACGATTTAGTTGGGTTCACTTTGTTCCATCATTACTCTGGTGTCGGGGGATGAATGATCGTGATCATAAACCGTATGATGAAAGCATTTACTACGGGTCTAAAAAAAGGTTCAAGGTGGATAGGACCTATACACAACTTGCTTTTACAGCAGAAACATGGGTCCGAGCGCTTTTGCTAATGATCTACACCTTGATCTTAGTGCATGTTCCAACACAAATACAATTGATCGCCATTTTGGATAACTCAACTCCGCTTCTATGCTATTGTTTCGTTCCCTCACACAAGGTTCCTTTTCTAATACTTACTGAGTGCTTCTTTTCGAGCTTCAAGCGTTTCTTTTCGAGTAGGTTTCTTTTTGGAAGGAAATCGCTGATGGAACCCTAGAATAGAGAGTTTCGCATTTACCATATTTACTAATGGCTCCCACGAGGTTTCGCCCGCAGTACCTCGCCATTCAATTAAATACTCGGATTTTTTGTTCTTGAGTGAATCTAGAATGTTTAATATAGCCCATAATTTCTGGCCATTTTCATCTATCGTGATTGGTAGTGTTGGAAGCTGTGTTTGCCCTGGTAGAGGTTCAGTGGGCGACGGACGAAGGAAGAATGTGTGGAAAGTTCGATGCAATTTTTACAACTCCACCGGTAGATTCAATTGATGAGCATGTGAATTAACTAATTTGGACACTAGGAAAGGACCTAGAAATTTTTTGTCTAGTTTTTCCATAGGCCTAGCGGAGTTGATATTTCGGGCATCAAGTAATATTAAATCGCCGACTCTTTATGCCGTGGTCGAGGAACGGTTGGCGCTAGCTTGATGTTTCTGAGGAGCTTGAGCATTTAGCATGTTGGTACTAGGTAAGTTTGTGATCTCTTCTATATTAGTAACAAAGAGGTTCCCAGCTTGATACATTTTTCTCTTCGACGCTGGTGCACCTACCTGAATTTTACGTGTGTAACCAAAAGACAATCTGGGATTTTGACCTGAGTTTGCGAAGAATGGGGACATTCCTGTGGTCGTGGAGACAGTGTTATTAGCGAAGAATTCGGCAAGTGGTAGCCAATTAGCCCAATCAGCTTGTGTAAAATAGCAAAAGAAACCAAGAAATTGCTCCAAATGTGTGTTCATAATTTCGGTTTGGCCATCGCCTTCTGAGTGATGGCAGTTGATAGATATAGCTACACCTATAAGCATTCGCAAAAGTTCCTCAAAAACTCTGTTACAAACAGCGAGCCCCTATCTGAAACGATAGTAGAGAGGAGTCCGTGCAGGCGCCGAACATCTCGGACAAAGAGAAAGGCTAGATCTTTGGTGGTCATACGAGTGGTACATGCGGAATAATGAACTTGCTTATAAAGGCGGTCCACCACTAAGATTATTTGGTTGAGCCTCGAGCTCTTGGGTAGTCCTCCGATGACATCCACGGAAATATCCTTCCAGCGCTGAATTGGAATAGACAGTGGCTTTATAAAGTACCGTGGTAGCACAGTTGTGGGGTTTTATTGCGGATGCAACTATGACAATTACGAGTGAGCTGTTTTGAATCATAGCTGATCCGAGGCCACGACTAATCCCGGCTGATCATTTCATAGAGAGCATTTTTTCCTGGATGGCCGGTGTTACGGTTTGACCGCTATTAGAGCTTAGGTGAATACCTAAGCGGATTGTTGGGAATATTTACAACTAAGCGGCACTACTAGTCAGGAGGTCGAAGCGTTACTACAACTAAGTAACACCTGGCAATGCGTGGCTGGGTAGCAAGTATTGTGCCTAAGGATAAGTCATCAGTCTGGAGATTGACGAAGGAGACCAATTCTTATAAATACCTGTTAGTCGTAGCTAAAGTTCTCTTTTCTCCTCATATAGTTTAATAAATCAATTTATTCACAACCAACTCGGTTTCCGTCACAGCCGGTCTCTACTGAGTCGTGTGCTTCTTTAAGTAACTTTGTGCGGAGGTTTTCCTTGCCATTTGAGATGTATAGGCGGTCTTTATAATACAACTGGTTACTCTCGATCCGATGTTGTGACAACTCGAATTCTCTAGATCTAGGAGTTCCGACAATTTAAGTCATCTATTTTTGAATACGTTTGAACTACTCATCTTAAAATTATGCTTCTTCAATTAAACGACTTTTAAGAACGTCTGCTAATTCCTGAAGACTTTGATCGACAGAGATGAGTGTGAGACATGGTCCTTTGGAAATTTCAGTCGCTTGGGCTTTGATTTTAGTAAGTTCTATTGAGCTAGTGGAATTGATAGTTTCCTGGACAGATTTTTGAATGGTCTGGGAAATTTTTGGGTCTACCTGGTGAGGCTTGAGAAGGGAGACTTGGTTATCTTGTAATCTCTCATCCGAAAAATCTTGAGGCAGGTCTTGGGAGCGGCGCGTGAGCGAATCTGGCTTCACATTCAGCGTTTGAGGGGGGTATCGAATTACAAAATCAAATTATGAGAGGAATTCGCTTCAGCGAACTTGCCGACGTAAAAGCTGCTTTGTGGAGATGAAGTTCTCAAGGTTGCGATGATCACATAGCACTGTGATGAGATATTCTGAGCCTTGGAGTTTCAGGCGCCAGTTCTCGAGGCAACGCACAATTGACAAAAGCTCTTTATCGTATATTTCATAGTTTCATCGCGAGGTTTCAAATCTCTTCGACATAAAGGCGACTGGGCGGAGCTCACCGTTATTATCTTTTTGTGATAATATTGCGTATAAAGCCCAGTCAGAAGCATGCGTCTCGACAAAAGTTGGGCGTGAAGAGTCAAAGTGGCGGAATATTGAGGCTGAGGTGAATGCTTTTTTTGGTGCTTCAAAAGCCGAGTCACATAATGATGACCACACGAAGGTTGTTTTTTCTGTGTTAGAGTCAATATAGGCCAAACAATTCGCGAAAACCCTTTATAAAGCGCCGATAGAAGTTTGAGAATCCAAGAAAGACTTTCATATCTTTTACATAAGTTGGGGGTTTCCAGTCTCTTATGCTCTGGATCTTTACTGGATCCATTTTATCTCCGGTAGTAATTACGCCCTCAGGGCTCCATACATGCAATGAGCAAGGCAGTCTAGGTGCATGACATGAAACACCTAAACGTGACATGAATGCCAATCTAGTCCTGGCATTACTCAGCAAACACCCATATCCCATGTATATAGAGCTCGCTATAGTTACTCCTATTTATCCCTCCATAGCCAATCTATCTTACATTCCCAAGGCTGCCTCTCAACTATTTTCATACCTTGTGATCGTAGTTTAGATGATCATTCCTGATTTATGCAACTTCCATAACCTCGAATTCGCACTTTATGATGTCTATTTGAAGGTATGCTTCTTGAAGTGCTTTAAGAACGGTTTTGACATGCTCCTTATGAAGCTCGAGGCTCTCAGAATACACCAAAACGTAATCTACATAAGCTGTACACATTACATCCAAGTATGAGTGTAAGGTCTCATTTATACGTGCTTGAAAGATAGCAGGGGCATTTGTTAGTCCAAAGGGTATGTGTCGGTATATCACGGGTATTAAATGTGCTAGCACGATAAGTTCTGAATTCCGAGGGGTTAGTTGTTCTTCTCTATTCTCTATCTAAGCTATCTAGTGAGTTACCCTATGTAGATGCCAAAGCGCTAGTGCAACCAATACGCGTATATGAGGGCCTACACTTCAGACCAATCAGAGGGATCCAAACACTACTGCTACTTAGTGGGTG